GTTTTTCCAGCTTTTATAGTTAGAGAGAAAAAAAGCAAAGCGTAGATACTATCCAACCTGGAACTTGGAAGTTGGGGTATTTCCAATGCTTGATTTGTCTCCAACTTATATGCTGATGGGCCCCCCAGCTCAGAGGGAAGGCCAAAGAAGAATATTAGAATATTTATATATTGAAATATTGGAAACTTCTTCAGTTCCTGGGCATATTAGGCCCTCCTTTAATCTCTAGGACATTTCTTCATATGTAAGACAACCTCACAGAGGTAAAAATTTGAAAGGGAAGTAGATGTAAGAAGGAGGTGAATTATATAATATAAAGGGAAAGCGAGAGGCAGAGTCCTAAGTCAGACCCTCTCGAAGCTCCACCTATTCAGAGGCTGAACTTTTGTCTGACATTTAGCAGTGAGATTCTGTTCACAGGAGAATCACCTCTGTTTCAGTAAGAACTTCTTCAAGGTTGCATTGCCTTTGGTGAAGTTCTAAGAATCTTGGGAGAGATCTTAGTTGTTGACCCTGGAATTTGGATTTCTAAGAACTATGTTTATCCATTCAGTCATTATGCAATGATTTACTGAGGATTTACAACCAGAAAATATGGACGTCTGCTTGGGGCCGGAAGCAGGGAGAAGGGAGTGACAGGGAGAAGCAAGCACATAAAGATGTCTGAAATTACTTAAGCTGGATTGATTGTTTGAGACTGTGGCATGTTGTAGTTTGTTTATTTTAGGCCTGAATAATATTAGAATTTATTATATATGATACTCTCCTCTCACAGAGGTGACAGTGTATTTGTACATATTGGCACATCAATGCAACAAATACCTAATATGGCTTTGGTCTTTGGGCTCTGAAAGAGGTAACTCTGTTATGGTCTCTCCTACCATATATACAATTGTAATTTGATACTGATTTTTTAAAAAAATAATTATGTTAGACTGTCATTTGTACAGATGAGCATTACTCTTCACATTTTCATATTAGGAAATGATACATCAATTTCACTGATGATGCTGTTGTTCTAAAATTTGTAACTCCCCCCACCCTCACTGCACACAGAGCTCACACACGATATACATGCACAGATTCCTTTTGGGCTGGCTTCTAGAATCAAGAGTTCGAAAAAGAACTGGTCTGGTTACCTTACAGTTGCTCTTGGTACACCTGAGAGTCATGGGATCCAAGAATGCTTCCCTGATATGCAGGCATGGTTGGCACCAAGGAAAGATGAAGAAATGGCACATGGAGTTGGACATTAGTGGTCCAGCTGTCAGCATCATCAGGGGGCAGTTTGTGAGGTCAGTGCTGGTTTTCATGACATCAACACAGCTGAGGAGGTGAGTTAGGGCCACTATAAGGGTAAGAACCCCCAGAAAGATCCCACTGAATGTTTCATCTACCATCTCCAAAGACTTCTAAGCCATTCTTGTGTTTGGGAATCGTAGAGGCAAATGGTTCCAGGAACCTAGCCTTACTCTTGATTTCAGGAACTCAGTCTAACCGAAGGCAGGAAGAGACAAATGACTAAGTAGACTCTTAAAATTAACCTTTTTCTCCCTCCGCCTTTCTTTCTCATCTGATAGGCTTAATAAGCTTGACTGGTATTTCATTGAGAAAACATGAGATATAGGTGAACAGATCCAAGTTACCTCATCTTCCCTCCAGCAGCCTACAAACTTGCCTTATCTGCATTCAACCTCCTCTGGACATGAGCAAGTACCACCTCCTGTCAAACCCCACCCTCCCGGTGTGCTAGGATCCCACCCGCTGCTGTGTGTTTCTCCCCCAGGTTTCACACTTGTCCCTATGGCCTCCCCTGCATCTTCAACCCCCTCTCTCCACTGAATCATGATCCTAAACATTCTCATATGGTCTAGAGGTTCCCATCTTCTATAGAAACCTCTCTTACCCTGCCATCTCTATTTCTAGCCCACCATTATTTCTGTCCTGGTCTTCAAAGCCAAACATTTCAAAACACATCCTACTGTTATTGGTTCTAGGCAGTTTCACCATAAGCATCTTCTGCAAGCATTTTTGCTGCATACCTAATGGGCGGTAGGGCAATTTTGCCGTAAAGGGTAAAATAATGAAAAAAAAGGGACAGTAAAAACGACATAATGAAACATAAAAAAGTAATAAAATTAATAATTTCTTTCTTCATTAAGAGAGGTATCAGTTTTCCAAATCCGAGGGTGCATATTTGAAACTGAGCTTTGCATTGCATTGTGAAAGCCTTCTACGCTGTTTGTTCTTGGCATATTGTCACATGTCTGTCGATAGGCGTTCCAAAGTTCTATGGGAAATGTGGAAGAAATGCTAATGCTGTAATGCATTTGTTGCTGGGCTTTGTTATCATCGTCACTGATGCATTATCATTTTCTAGTATGGTAGAGTAGAGTATACAATCTGGCTTCACACTCTCTTTTTTCACACTTCAAGTAAGTTTTATCACTCTATTTTCTATCCAGTCTACATATGGTGTTGTTATTCACTATTTTAAGATCACCATGTCTGTTCATCACTGCACAGAGCTTTATGAGGGCTAGGTAAGATTTATATAATGTAAAAATTGGAATTTGTCAATGAAGAAATAAAACAAAACTGTCGGCCAGTTATTTTGTCTTTTACAGCCAAATTGCCCTACAGCCAATTAGTTACATGGTGAAAATGTTTGCAGCAAAATGCTTGGGGCAAAGATGTCTGTGGCAAAGATGCTCACAGCAAAAATACCCGAGGACACAATCGTCATCATCCACACACTCTGGAACCCCCATCCCTACATGGAATGTGTCCTTTCCAAGGTTATGAGACTCAATCCACATTGCCAAATCGAATAGGTGTTCTTTTGGCCCTCATCCTACTCCACCTCTCGGCATCCCACACTGCTTTCCACACCCTTGTTTGTGACATTTTCTGCAGTGTCCCCAGGCTGTCATTCTCTAGCTCCTTCTCCTCTAACCACTAAATCACTTAATACCTCAGGGCTCAGCCTGCCATCTCCTTTTCCAACCCACTACTCATTCCGATGACTTTAAATATATATTAATAATGCACAAATATATATCCCAGTCCAGTCATCTCTTTTGAGATCCAGACTTCTATATTCAGCCTGACTTACCCACTTAGATTTCTCACAAGCACTTTGAATTTGCTGTGTCCAGAAAGGAACTATTGGTCTTAACCTCCAAAATCCTCCCCGGGGCTCCAGTCTTCTCATCTTAGAAAATGGCACCAGAGCACTCACTCAAGCCAGAAGTCTGGGAGCCATGCTCGACCCCTCCTCAACACCTCCAACATCCCAACTACCACCAAATTCTATTATACCTTATCTCCATCTTTGCTATCAACGACCTTGGCCAAGCTTTCATCTGCTCTCAGCTGGATCCCTGCAAGAGCCACACAGCTGATGACCTATGTTCACTGGAAAGCTTCAGGGATTATACTATTTCTACAGCCTCATCTTTTATGCCTGTCACCTCCTTCATCAAGCTCTGGCCTCTTGACCTTTGGCCAGAATGTCTCTTCCTCTTACTATTCCCTTCCCTCCCACATCTTTACTCTTGGCTAATTCTTTCTTACCTGTCATGTAGCAGCTGAAATATCACTTCCTCCCAGAGGATTTTCTCTAACCAAGATTCGAATGTCAACCTCCCATCATTAGACACTGTCATATCACAGTTTGGAATTCTTTTTTTTTTTTTTCATTTAGTCCTGCATTTATTAGGAAATTGTAAAAAAGATCAATAGATTTTGTTCACAGCATTTAAATAATTGACATCTAAAGCAGTAGTATTCAAATCTGGCAGGCCACAATTTGGAATTCTGTATTTATTTCTTCCATAAGAATAAAAACTCCATGAGATCAAGAACTGTGTCTTTTTTATGACTCTATATTTAGGACTCAGTCCACTGCCTAACAATAAATATTTGCTGAATAAACACACTTCTGTCCTCTGTCGTACTTAACACTTACACCTTTTTTGTATCACACACATGCCATGTCTCTTAAATTTGAAAAGATAAGGTCTTTGGAATTAGATCTGGCTCTGACACCCACTACCAAACCCACTGTGTGACTTTGGGCAGGTTGCTTCACCTCAGTCTCCCCAAATAGAAAATGGGAAAATCATATCTGTGTTATGGTAATATTCAAAGGAGATCATCCATATATAGTGCTGATCATAAAGGTACTCAGTAAAAAGTCAGTTTTCTTTCTTCCATGCTTTCATATAAATTCCAAATGCTTCGGGCGCCTGGGTGGCTCAGTTGGTTAAGCGACTGCCTTCGGCTCAGGTCATGATCCTGGAGTCCCAGGATCGAGTCCCACATCGGGCTCCCTGCTCAGCAGGGGGTCTGCTTCTCCCTCTGACCCTCCCCCCTCTCAGGCTCTCTGTCTCTCATTCTCTCTCTCGCAAATAAATAAAATCTTAAAAAAAAAAAAAATCCAAATGCTTCTAACCCAGTAGATGCAAACATGCACACACATTTGACAAGGTGACAACATGCATCCTGCCCCTTCTCAGTCTTTCTGATTGTGACATGCCCACTGAGAGTTTTGCCTTTAGAGAATGAGAATACTTAGCCATGGAACAGCATTCATAATGTTAAACCAAATATATAACTGTATCTCTAAATAACTGCAGTCTGTATTATAAGGGCACCTTCTCAAATATATCTGGAGGTAACACAAGAAGAACAGTACTTTTGACAGCATAGAGACCTGACTTTAAAAGAAAACGCCAGATGGCAGCACCAGATGCTAGAGATGTGTCTGATGGGATTTTAGTTCAAACCTAAACATCTAGGATGCCAAAGGTAGCTTAAAACTAGATTCAGAGAGAATCATTTACAGAAAAAGATGATTTCCCTAAAGAACACCTATTTTGTAATATAGTAGGGGATTTTTAGAAACAATGTTTCACATTTACAAGCAAAATTCAAAGGAAATAACCCCAAGCATTATCTAACCAATAAAAGATAATGAGACCAAGGCTTCATTTGGTTTGTAGTTACATTTAATTAACTGCTGATCTGTGTTCCAATTAGTCAGAAAGGGCCTGAAATCAAAGAATGAAAGATGATCGGGTTCTAGAAAAGGGCAACTTTTTTCCCCAAATTAAAATGCAAGCACTAAAATTTATCCACTCATATTAAAATAAGGAGCAATAATGACCTCTATTACTGTACCCCTCAGCATCACTTAGGGAATTGCTTACTAAAATAGACAGTAGGCTTACTAAATAGACTAAAATGTAATACATTAAATAAATGCAATATTAACATTTAAAAGGATAATCTATGGGTTTCCATATTATGCATCAACATTTCATCTGGGCTTATCACCACTTTTAAAATCTTGCTACGGTGGAGATTGCTTATGCAGGCTTTCCATTTTTTTTTGGAGGAAAGAGACAAAGTGTGATTCAGCTCAAGAAACCATATAATTCAGATGCAGCGACCCCAGGGCCGTAACACCTTTGAAATAAGGATCCTCACTCAGGGTTTTATTCCTCTGCTCCATACTGCTTAGCGTCCTTCAGAGCTTGTCTGTGAGATCAGAAAGGGTAAATTCAACCCTGTATTCTGGAAGAGAAGCAATGGGACAATTCAAGCGCATACGGTGGTTAGTGGGCCAAGCAGAGCTAAAGCAAAATGCCTGCTGAAGTCTTGGAGAAGAACTCGTCTCAGGCGGTATTTATTTGTATTTAGCTTTGATTGAAGTGTAACAGCACCCGCCGTGTCATAAGAGAACTGAGCCAGTCTATGTTGGAGGAACATTCTGAGCGGAGGCAAATTTCCCTCTGCCAGCGAAACAGTCATTGTTGCCCAACTGGAGCGAATTGTTTTCCAAGCACCATGATCACGGTGCTGAAAATATTCTTCCTCACCTGAATTCGCTACGAGATTGAGCCCTCCGAGAGCATCAGGCAAGCTCTGATGCCGATCTGAAGTCAGACCCAGGATTCTAGATTCTGACTGACAAGAGAAGCAGCGCACATCTGAAGTGTGACAAGAAGGCGTGTGTGTCATAACCAAAAGTCGGCTGTCACCGGCAGATGAAATATTGAAGTCTAATCGTGCACAAGGCAGTGATCTTCATGGGAAATGGATGGTTTCCCATAATATCTCAATTTTGAATGATACAAAGAAATTGTACTATCTAAATTTCAATTGACACGAAGAAAGAAAAACAGCAATGGATCAAATTGTAACTGAAAGAGAAAACCACACCTCCCGGGAGACATTTCCGGCTGAAAGGCGGACTTCTAGGGAAGTCAAGTCCATTGCTTCAAGAGAACCTCTTTCTCTCTGGAGCCTACCAGCTTTCTCCATTTTAAGTCATGCAAGCTTGCTTTAAGTCTGGCAGCAAAAGGGACCCTATGTTGGATGACCTTCCTATGCCCTTCACGAAAGCCTGTGTGGTCCCCAAACGGGCCAGCACACATCTAACAGCCGTGAGCGCCAACTTCCTGCCGACACGTGCCTCCTCGGGTCCGGGAGCAGGATTGGTGGTGTTGTGACAGAGCCACGTCCTCTAGATGCCCTTATTCTGACGGACAGCCCCCACTTTGATCTAAACTCCCCAGTTACTGAGGGCCATCGCTGTGACCTCTCCTTCTGACATCTCCCCTCCAGACCACTGGCTGAGTCAGGAGGTGTCTTCCTGTGAAGCCGTGGGCCCAGGCCAACCTCTGAGCAGTCGTGACTGAGTGAGAACACGCTGTGCTCAGCCTGTTGGCACAAAGTATGTGTTACAACAACAAGCACAGGAATCCTGACCACACTCTTCCCTATCTCGAGATCTGTGCTGAGAACATGTGAAGCAAATGCATACACTCAGGAAAACAGGGCTGCAAGTCAGAGAGCTAATGGACTCGCTGATTTGTGGCCCTGAGACACGGATTCTTGTGATCTCTGAATCCAGACCCCACACATTTTGGAAGAAAAGCAACAGGCAGGAGATGGGAAAAACAGATCATGTGTATGAGACCAGCCTGCCGTTCATGCCACACGTAAGAGTGTGGGTTTTGATTTCGGCACAGAAACTAGCCATTCTTTCTTCAATGTTCATCGGAAAACTTGCCCAGCCTCTCTTAGTCTGACTCTTGGGCTTTATGGTCATTGTCTTGGAATCTACTTGGAATCTACTTAACCAGTAAGTTTCTAATCATTTCATTTTAAACATGAAAGTGTTTAACTAGAAGGTTGCCAACGTATGCAATAAAAAAGTAAGGAAGAAAAGTTGCAGTAAAAATAAAGGCTGCTTCCCGCCCCCACAATCCCCAGTCCTTCTGGTTTAATCTTTTAGAATAGCTTGGATAACCTCAGTTTCCCCCAAGCAGTCCATTAAAAGACAGGGGTGCCTGGCTGGCTCAGTCAGTAAAGAATGTGACTCTTGATCTTGGGCTCATGAGTTGGAGCCCCACATTGGGTGTGGAGCCTACTTAAAAAAAAAAAGAACTATTCTCTACAGGTGGGGGGCTTTGGGTAGCAAACTGTAGAGAAAAGATTAACCCGGGCTTAATGGCAGGACAAAGCACACGGACCACGTCTTGTGGGGAACCACCCTCAATAAGCGTTCTTCCCCAGTTGTGGTTGATGGTGAACCTTCAGGTAAACAATACTTCAGCATACAGGTTGGGGAGCCACGGCATAATGCTTATTCCCAAGTGCCCAAGTGGGGAGCAAAGCCTGCTGTCCAGCCCAAACACAGGCCACTGAGCAAGTGGGAACTGAGCACTTTCCGGAACCACGAACCCACACCTCGTCGCTTTGGAGTGCACCCTGGGGTTAATCGCCCACGTATCAGAATCACAGAAGTGTTAAAAGAAAACATGCTGTCTTTGAGGAGCGCGTCTATTTCTGCGAATGCTTCAGTGCCTAATTGTTGCTGAAGTCATTTGGGGTTTTTGACACAGATTCTATTTTAGTAAGATAAACTCAGCATAACCCGGTGTTGCCAAAAATGAATTCCTAAGGTAGATGACTAAAATAAACCGGTAATAAATATTGGCTGTTGGAATGGGAATTATATCTCTGCAATGTAGACACAGCATTAATGACTCATTTTTCCAAAGAACAGTCTCTCCCAAGGATTACTGGGATGAGGAATCCGGGAAGAAGGACGTCCATCTCTCTTTCTTTTAGGCGGCAGAGTGTAAGAGGACTCTAAACCCACCAGGCAGGGATGTTCTTATATCGACTTGGCCAACCGAGATACAGGGTCCGACAGGGGTCAACTTGGACAGGATGCACTGAGGCAGACATAAGGCACTGAAAGAAACCAACCTAGGGGTTGAGGCAGCTGATTCTGGGGATAGTTTTCTCTCATTCCCCTGGGGGGTGGAATGTACCCATGGGTCTACCCAATGCATCTCATGTGCCATGAATTACCTTATCAGTCACCATGGGTGCTGCCATGTTCCTTTGCTGCTTGGACTTAGTGGACTCTTTGAGGTCACCTTTACTTCCTAAGGTCAAATTCTGAATTTTTGGCCCACGAGGTTGAGCTTTACAGCTTCTCTGGTGTACCGGAAGGCGTTCTGGGGCAAAGGTCCGGCCGCAGTTTGGACAGGGCTCCAGCTGAGCTTGACTTGGCCCCTCTTGGTTGGACCGTCCAGTGGGAAGTGGCTGAGGTTTCTGTGGGAGTGGTCGGCGGAGCTCCCTGGGGAGCCGGTCATTTTCTATTTTCCACTTTTCCAGGCATTTGGGCTCATGAATGGGAAGGGACAGAGTGCCAAACTCCCTACCACAAATGTAGCAGATGAGAGTCTTTGGTCGGGCTGGGATGCCCCCAGCAGCCTTCCTGGGACCAGTACGATCGTCAGAACTGCTGGGGGTTGGTGCTCCAGGCCCGTCACCCTTGGGCTTGCAGCTTCTCTGGTGCACCGGAAGCCGATCTGGTAAGAACGTGCGGCCACAGGATTCGCAGGGCAGCAGCTGAGACCGGGAACTCTGGAGCGCTGCTTCGTTCACTGCCTGCAGATTGTAGGACCCACTGCCCCCGAGAGGCTGTGGCTTGGAGGGTTCTGGCCTCCTCAGGTGCTTGGGCAACTTGCTGTTTTCAACCCGCCACTTCTCCAAGCACTGGGGTTCATGAATGGCAATTGACTGGGACCCAAATTCTCGGCCACAGATATAGCACACCCGGAATCCAGGCCTGCGGGAGGGGATCACGGGGGGGCTGGGCTGACTTCCCGACATAATTCTCCTACTGGACTGTTTTGAGAGTATCACCGTTCCAGGTCTCGTTTTCTGAGGTCCTGTCCTTATTTTTCCAACACGACTGACATGCTCTGTGTCTGGCAAAAGCCTAGAAGGGGAGTCACCACATAGAATGGCCTGGTTGATAAGGAAGGTGGGCTCTTTAGAATGGTGGAAACTCTGCTGCAATTTGTTGCAAACCCTTCTCTCCTTTCCTGTTTCCATTAAGGAGCAAGTCTTTCTGTAGGCTTGCTCTGATTTCAGGCCAGACTCATTTTGGGATTCTGCTCAGAGTGAAGGTTAGTCAGGTTGGCTTGTCCTGGGGTTCCACATTGTTGCCAACTCCTTAGACTCAAGGACCATGACTCAGAGCTTCATTGCAGGGCAGCGGTCTGGAATGCTGGAAAGTCCTCATTAAACCTCAGATGCCTCCAAGATCTGTGGGGGAAACATAAATCAAGAACTCATTACACACACACACACACACACACATCCACACCCCTCTTAGATTGTAAGTTGATAAACAGCAGTAATTTTTTTTTTTTAACCTAGTATCCTCTTTGGCTAGATAGTAACTAGCACATAAGATTTGTTCAGTAAATGTTGAAATAAATTTGAAGAAAATTTCCACTATGAATTGCACTATTACTGTATTGAAAGTACTGTTCTGAGCAAAGGAAGATCAACAATTACAGTATGTCAGAGACACACACGGCACAAACCAACAGAGGCATGGTGGTGAGACCCCGGAAGACAGAACTAAGACCTGCGACAATTAAATTAATGAAACTGCAGATAATAGAGGAAAATCTTTTCCACTCCCTTAGGGATTCTTAGCTTTTTAGTGCCATGGATCCTTTCAGCAGTTTCTCTGAAGCCTATAGTTTTAAAGGCAAAAAACAAAAATCTTACTATCACAAGTGAAACTAATTTTATTGAAATAATTGATCAAATATCTTTGGTCATAATATATATTTTATTTGAGATATAGTAATAGGCCACACTTAATGAATGCCCATTAGCCTAAGGTTAAGAACCCCTGCAGTAGGAATTCAGTAGTGAATATTATGAGTATTATCAGGAAAACCCACAGAGGGGGTAAACTTCTTATAACCTACCATGTATCCACTTTTCTTTATTATGGGAATGGAGTGTGAATAAATTGGGGCCATAGATATCAAGCCAAGAATGCAACCCTGGCCTATACCCTTCCTGGTAAATTATCTGTAGATCTTCCCGGGGATGAAGATGCTCAGATTTTGCTTGATGTTCTTTATATTCTTTATATAGCTATTGTGCTTAATTCCTTGTATTATCTCTCTTATCTGTATCTGTATCTATACAGATAGTATAGATACTAGTTAAATATTAGATAAGACAGATAATATACAATTAGATAAATATTATCTATTTATATATTATAGTTATATATTACATATTATTATATATAATATATAATAACTATAATATGGAAGATAGATAATATAATCTGTTATCTATAAATATACTTTATATTTGTATATTATATATTATTATATTATATATTATATATTTATAATCTATTATTTTAAATTTAAATTATTTTAATGATCAATAATAAGTTATTAATACATTATTACATTTAATCATATATAATTATATTCTATACTAGATATTATGATAGATATTATCTATCTTCAAAATAATTTTTGTAAAAACATGGCTCATGATTTTCTCAGACAAGACAGAAGGGCTGGTTGGTAAAATCTCATAACGGGCAGGAGGCTAAGGAGTTTTTACCATGGGGAGAGGCATGAATCAGTTTCACCCAGGGTAAAGATTATTGTCTAAGCCCCAAGAGAGATTACTGTCAGACGTCTTAGGACCTCCTTCATTTCCTGAAGGGGGATTCCGTCTGGATGAGAGGCTCCGTATCACCGGCCCCTCATCACAAAGGGAGAAGCGCCTGACCTGAGGCTGGACCCTGTGGACCAGAGCAGACCCCTGAGTTCAGGTGGCACAGGGACTGCCTGCTGGTAATATCACAAAGACCAAAAGAGCTGTAAGACTTATGCCTCGTTCCTGTATTTTGGTGCAAAGGAAGGTCGGAGTCTTTGCAAATAAGACTATGGGATCAGCTCTGGCACAGAAAAGCAAGCGATTCTTCAATTTGACAGGTCCTAAGACAGTGATATTAACACATGTGACAAAAGAATGCATTGGCCCCAGGGTAGCCAGCACAGAAAATGAAGCTCACAGAAACCAAATGTGTCACCTGACTGGCACCAGCTGAAAGAAAGTGGATCTCAAAAACACAAGGAATCTAGGAAAATGATTTCATTAGGTTTTTATCAGCACATGGGGGAAATAACCCCCAAACCACTCTGCTTCTTTGGTTCTGGCATCTTGTTTACCAAGGATCCTTATTTTCCTTTCCCATTTTCCTTCATACCAGGAAGCTGCAGATAACAAAAGGACTTAAGAAGACATGAAAAATCAATGCAATTAAATAACCTTACTTCCCCTAAACTTGCTCACAGTTTCTCTCTCTCTCTCTCTCATACACACACACACACAAACACACACACACACACACACTGCTCCCAGCTGATCAGAGTACTGGGGAGGCCCCATAACTTGCCCCAGCAACTCCTATCTCCCTTAGGATCAGGTAAGAAGACTAATAGTTACTGAACACCAACTATGCATCAGATATTGTACTGATTTGTTATATACACAGTTTCAATTAATTCTCAGATGAAGGCAGGTATGATTGTTTCAGTTTTATAAGTGAAGACACTATGAGTCAGAAGACAGTCCGTTTTTAAATGACAGAACTGGGAACCAATTCCAGCTCTTTTTGGCTCCAGTAATCAGCTCTTTCCATGATTCATTCTGCCACAAATTCCACCAACAGAGCTTCTTCTCTTTAGTTTTTTATCCCGGTTTTAATGTACGATTCATATGTCTCACGGGAAGGTAACCAAGGTCCCACCGGCCTTTGTGTGGCCCTTGAGGAGGAGGAAGAGGTGGAAGGGAGGAGGAGAACAGGGTGCAGGTGGAGAAAATCCTCTGAGATGGAAAAAGCAGGAGAGAGAGAGACTGGGAATACTGGAGGCAGCATTTTTTCCTGAAGCACCAGGGCTCATTTTTCATTTTGCTGGAAGTGGTTTTCTCGACGACGTTGTCCCTCTGCAGCATGTACAACACAGATTCTTTTCCTGATCGCACCAACATCCCCAGGTGTGGGGACAGGCCAGGGGGCCTGGGGTGGTATAATGAGCGCAGGGTGAAAGCGAAGGCCGCCCCAAGAGCAGATGGTTGTTCCCTTTGCAGCCCCTTCCCCAGTTTGATTAGGGATAGATCTTCATGCACATAAGCATTTTTCTGCTATTGATATTTTCTCTGCAGCAAACATGAGAGCATCATCAGATTCCGAACCGTATCTTCATCATTTTTCCCACCATCTCTTTCCTCCTCCAATGTCCTCCTGAAATCTCTGTCTTACTGTGCTTAAAGTTATCAAAATATGAAAGATGAGGTAGCCGGAAGAAGTGAAATTTTGGGGAACCACTGTGTTGAATGGAGAACCCTGCGATGCTTCTTTCCACCAGTGATTCTGGCAAGGCCTAGTCCAGCCAGAGGCTCTCCCCTATATGTTAGTTCTAAAAGCACAAGTACTGGAAAATACTAAATATGTGTAGTTAAATCACTTAAGAAATTGGCTTGCCATGCAGACACATCATAAAGCAATGTTGCGAGTTCATAAAGAGAACTACTTTGCAAAGCTAGCCAGCTCTACCCCAAGCAACCGTGGAGAAACGTTCACCCCAGTTGGTCTGAATTATTCATTTTGACCATATTTGCACACAGGATATTTAAAGAATGTCCTGGAAGGCATCATACTTTATCAAGATGATGCCATTTTTCCAAGCCCTTTGGGGTTCACGAGAAGGGAGAGACACTCACAAAGATGAATATAATAACCATAGAAATCCAAACCCATCTTGGCATTAGGAGGTGTTTCCCTATCAAAGAAGAGGGGGGTGGGGAAGAGCACAACCAAAGGATTAAATCTTTTAAAAGTAAATTTAGTCTTTTGAAACAAAGTAAGTGTAAGTGATGCATGACCCCTTCCCTGTTAGTATAGAATCCAAATTCTTTAAATGGACAAATGAATAAATAAGAAAGATGGAGTTGAGCTGGTCCTGGCTCTGAGCAAAATTATAAAATAGAGGAGGTTTGCCTTTAATATCCTCCAACCACCCCATTCAGCAGGCTCCATTCTCCCCTGCCTGGTGTCCTCATATGCTCACCAGTCTTCCTTACTTTTGAAACCCCACTTTCAAAAAGGAGCTGATAGATTTATTCACACCAAGCCTTATGATTGATGAGGTAATATCCCTCCCACAGTCTGGCAGAGACAACTGGTTTCCCACCAGTCATTATTTTGCCCAACTTCCTCAAATTAAGAGAGCCCCAATTTTTAGCTGGGCACATGATTTCTCAGCTACAAGTCTGCAGGCTCCTTTGCAGAATTGTGTAAGACATGTCCACAACCTGCTCCTCTTTCCTTCCTTCATTCTGATGCTTAAACCATGGATGTGATGGCTGGAGCTCCAGCAGCCATCATGGACCAGACTATATTTATGTGACCCCTGACATGACAGAGCAGACACTTGGATGGACTTGAGTCCCTAATAATGGTGGAGTCACCATACAAGCTCTCGGGTGTCACCCTTAGCCTTAATTTACATAAGAGAAATAAATATCTAATTGTATTTCAGCCACTTTTAAAGAGTCTTTTCCTAGCATAAAACCTATAACTAGAACCTAATTCTAAGGAGATACAGTTGTATTTTAATAGCTGTCTTTGGCTTAGCACAAAATGAATTCTAACAGCAATATTTCAAACTGCAGGGTCTTGTTTTTAATAAGTGAATTTTTTTTTTTTTTTGAGAGAGAGAGAGAGAGTACACTTTGGGGGCAAAACTGATTTACTAAACATCTACTTTTTCCTGAAAATCCGAAATAGAAAAATTGAAACTATAAATATGAACCAATGGTCCTTAAGAAATTCATTCATGATCTTCCTGTCCTAGAATTATTTTTGGGGGGGAACAAATTTGAATGACATATTTTGCTTCAGGAAAATAAAAACTTATTTTTTCCATAAGCTTTGGAAGGAGCTAGAAGTCATCTGCTGTGACAATTATTAACATTGTGTATTCCAAACGCTCTTTTCTGTATTCAGCTTCACTATGCTCGCTCTGGGACTCCACATGCTCCATAATAGATAGGATTAATCTTAACCTCTTCCCTTTGATACTTCAGCCCTAGGAGTGGTATCTGCTGCCTCCTTCATAGAGTTGTGTTCTCTTTTTATCCTCCTAGTTACTAACAACTTCCTTCCTGGTTAACAGCTCTTTATATGAAACTGTAATTAAATAATTGGTATAGTTTCTGTCTCCTGACTGATACAACCACCCTCAGAAAATAAGTAATAAAAATCTGTGATATTCAAGCTGCACATTACCCCAGTATTGCAATAAATATAAACTCAAATGAATTCTTCCATAGCATCTTAGAAAATAATATGGTGCTTATATTAACATTCAATCCTCAACTCATTCAGACCACCGAAAACGTATTTTTAAATTTTACACCATCATCATGCTTCCAGAACTAGAAAATGTTGCTTTTCCTTTTGTGACCAACTGAATTAAACCAAAAGAAGAAATCTGCTGTTTTAGGCATATTCATATTTTCCATCATTTTATACGATTCTCTTCTGCAGCTGACTGCCCAGCCATAAGGCCACCACCATCACATAGGGAGTCAAATTAAAGTGATCCCATTCCCAGATCAAGGATGACCAGGTAGGGTCGGGGCGAATGGTCCATCGCACTCTGGCTGATTCTCTGCACTTGCCTGGGCGTAGCCCCTTGGCCAGTAGTACTTGTGGTCCTCAACAATTCTAAGGGGAGTGACAAAAGGCCAGGTGAGAGCAAATAGGAACCGGAGATGGTTTGGTTTGGGAAGGACAGGAGCAGCATCTGAAAGGTAAACAAATAAAAACGTATATTCAGAAAAGCCACTGAGCCTGAGACACACGGCTTCCAGGGAATCTGGCTGTCCCTGTTGGCATTTCCAGGCTGATTTTTGAATAGCTAATGAAAATTTACCCTTCCTTGTCTTCCCTTCACTGTGAAGAATTTTAAACCAGAAGTCAGCGTCTTCACCTTCATTCAATCTAATTGTCAGGTGTAGACATAATAGTCTATGGTGTTGGGAGAGCCATGCAAACAGAAAATGGGAGAAATGTACTCTTTACACTTCTAAGTAGAGCTTTCGGCAAGGACATTTTATGTTGCTAAAGCTCATAATATCACCCTATAAAGGCTATTGTTAGATTGAGTCTGTAATTTTCACTCTATATTGAGCTTCCAAATCACAGAGTACTCGCGAGTCACGAATGCCACACAGGTATGACCATGTAATTGTAACATTGACATTTGGAGTGGTGGAGAACTGGTTATGGAAACCATCAGTATAATCCCATTAGAATCCTATCATGTATAGAAATCCAAAGGATAGACAAAAAAAGTGGGGAGTCAGGCTGTTGAATCATAAACAAGCTTACAAACCATCTTTTCTGACATTTGGCATACTACTATTCCAATAAAATAGCTCTATTCCAAATAGCTCTTTCTCAAGACTTTAAAGCAGTGGTTGATACATCAAATCTGGCCCATCAATAAGTTCTTTTTGACCTCCCTAGAGTTAAAAATGTTTTGGGGCGCCTGGATGTCTCAGTTGGTCGGGCATCTGACCCTTGATCTCAGCTCTGATCTTGATCTCAGAGTCGTGACTTCAGGCCCCACGTTGGGCTTCCCGTTGCGCTCCACGCTGGACATGGAACCTATTTAAAAAAAAGTTTAGGGGCGCCTGGGTGGCTGAATCCATTAAACATCCAACTCTTGGTTTCAGCTCAGGTCATGATCTCATGGGTTGTGGGATCAAGCCCTGCATCGGGCTCTGTGCTCAGTGGGGAGTCTGCTTAAAGATTCTCCCCCTCTGCCCCTCCCCATACTCACTCTCTCTGTCTCTCTAAAATAAACAAATATACCTTTTTTTAAAAAAAAGCCTGAATTAGGTGCCATTATTTTAAAGTTGGGAGATGTCACACAAAATCAGGATTTTGGTTTCTTTTGAGAAGGTGGGAGAGCAGGCCATATAGAGCCCACATTCCAATGTGGCAACAACCCCTATAAACTGGTACTGAATGAAGGCTTAACTGTGGGTCAGACTGCCAGTCTTCACTCTTCCAAAGTTTCTCATCAGTCCTTTGCTTTATTTACTTGTAATTCATTCTTGATTCTCAAAGGCATTTGAGTTCCTGACGATATGTGATCCTCACTTTAAAGTATCTCTTTCCCCCATTTTTCTCTTCAATTAAATATTTGAATATCACTTCAAGGAGCACTCACCCTCAGTCAACTGGGAACCCAGTTGAAGGATTTTCTATGGGAAATATTTACTAAAAGCATGACAGATTTATTGCTAAAAATTCGGAAACAAAGTTTCGTAATGACAGCAGAGTGAGGCTGAAAGACTTATTTCTAGGAGGGAAGGAAATATCCAAAGGGAAAAGAAAGAACCAGTGACCTGAGGAGGAATTTTCCTACATTAATGGAAGGTCACAGGAAATGATGCATCTAATTTCAGAGAGAAAAAATTCAAGCAGCCAGTGTTTAGATCAGCCACAGGAGAGATGATAGAACCGAAAAAAGAAAAAAGAAAAAAAGAAAAACACAAAAAGAAATGTGTTTGGAGACCATCTGAACTTTTTGGAGGCATTCCCATAATTATTGAGTTACTACTGATATAACGAGAGCTACTCTTCTGCTTAAGCCAACAGTTCTTGATTTACCATTAAATGATCCCTCACATGAAGAACGTTGGATCACTTAAGTTATTAATCTAAAGAAAGAATCAGTCAGTCAAAAGAACATCAACAAACCATTAACAATATATGGTAGATTTCCAAGATTTGGGCTGGAAATACTTCCTAAGAGAGTTACACTTCCTTGTATGGATTACAGAATCTGATGCACTTTTTCTTTCTGACAAACTGGCCATTTTGTCAAGTACCACCTATAAATTAGTTTGAATTGAAAATGTATAAGAACAGCATAGTAATTCCTTCTCAACCTAGAATGAGGTATCAGATATCCATCAAGTGTCTAAAGTTGATGTATTATGATAAAACATAGTGGGGGAAAGGATAGATACCATTTTAGAATTTAAAAACTGTAAATAGATGCGTGCGTTTCCTAGCCCCCATCACGTGATATGTCTGCACAGAGTTCCCACTGTCTTCGTGCTCCTGATTTATTGTCTCAGTGCCCTACCTCAGTGGGATATCTTTGGCACAGACTTGCAAACCACAGGGTGGTAGTATCAGAAGGATAGTCACTAGATTCGTGTGTCCAGGTGGAAACAAGCACAAAGAAGAAAAAGCTGCCTTTGGAGGGAGCTGCCTGGCCAGGAGAGATTGGCCAATGAGAGATGGGCCTCTCTGTATCCTGGAGGAAACTTTTCTTAACTACATCACCCACTTACCAGACAACAGCCTCAAAATCGTGCCTTTAGCCCTACCCACCTCCAGGAGGTCGGTGTCTCCCAGAGCCTGGCTGACACTTAAATTGATCGTCATTACCATTCATTGCAGACATCAACACCCTTTGTTAATGCTCTCTCCACCCAAAGCTGTTTCTCAGGAAAGTCCATGGGAAGAATGTCAAAAATAGGGCCGAGCCCGTGAGGCTGGGCTTCTGCTGTATGTGTAATGAATGCGCCTCTATTTTCTGGTCTGCTCAGCATTACTTCCCTGGTGGTGGCTCTGGAGACCTGGGAGTGTATGTACGACCCCAGGCTGAAGGCTGTTTCTGAACATGGGCTCTTTGTTGCTCTTCTCCCCACATCTCTGGTCTTCCTATGTAAATAAGTCATCAAAAAACTATTATCATTCCATTTGACATCTCTGACTCTCATGAACAAGGCACTCTTTCACAGACCAGATGGTCTGAGATCCCTGATGGTTCAGAATCCTCCGTACATCCTTTCCTTGCTCAGGAATCTTACATGGGCTATCCCCTGCTGAAGAAAACCACTAGAAGGTGTCTTCTAGTATCTAGGAGGAACTTGTCCATCCTCTCTGTCCCAGAGCCCAAGCCAAACATGAAACATTGTGACAGCTCTTTATTTGCAAACCTTCTTAGCTTGTAGTTTAATTTTTTTGGTAGTTTAAAATTTACTGAACGCTTCCTTCCACCCCACGCCTGGTAACTATCAGATAGCAAGGAAGTCAGAGTGTCAAATTGCTTTGTTCTGTTTTCCTTTGGTAAACACAAAGAAGATCTGTGTGTATTTTAAGTCATACCTTGGATCAGAAAGATCAGGATATTTGATTAGAAGAATACAATTTAAAATGAACTGTGTGGATGTTGATTTTTCCACTTTCTTGTGGTTTCAACAGGCTCTTTTCCCACCTTTTGTGCTCTCTCTTGCATTTTCTTTCATTGTTTCCACTTGTCTGTCTGTCTCCACTTTAGGTCTGGAAGGACAACCCAACACAATACAGAGAAGGTGCCATTAGGAAGGGCACCCTATGGTTGACTCCACTGCTAGTTTGTTCTGGGGCCACAAGGCAATGCTGACCAGCTCACACTAGAAAAGTGTGGTTTATATTTTAACTCTATTATAATTTTCTGGAGGAAGAAGGATTAGAAATGATAAGCCCAATATAATCATACAAGTCCTCAAAAGTGGACAGCCTTTCCCTGAAAGAGGTGGGAAAACCGAAGAAGAAAGAGATCCAACTACCCATGGCTGACTTGAAGATGGAGAAAAGGAGCTATGTGCTAAGGAATATGTATGGGCGTCTAGAAGCTGGGAAGACCAAGGAGACATGGGGCCTACATACACTCCCAGGGCTCCTAAAAATGAACACAGATTGGCTGACACTGATTTTAGCCTCAAGAGACCCATGTTGGACTTATGACACCAAGAACTACGAGATAATGAATTTGGGTTGTTTTAAACTGATAATGTTACTATATTTTGCTATAGCAGTAATAACAAACTAAAACACCCCAAAAGAAAGAGACCAACACTGTGAATGCAGACTTCTGCAAAAATATTACTCAGCTAGTTTTGGCCACACTATACCCTGGAATTTTAATAGTTCACAGTCACCCAGCTCTAGTCTCCACTGGAAACACCACGGGGGGGTGGGACTCCATCCCAGGGCCATGATAAGATGCCCCGGGTGGTCCTCTAGAATAAGAATTATAATACAATTCACCCTATAGTAACAAAGGCATAAATATTCACATAATATTATACAGCAGAGTCCATTATCTCTTTCTAGCTCTAGTGAGGACCCTCAACCAGTGTGACTCAGGAAATAAATTCTTTAAGATTTGGCATCCTCCTCAGTGTGGTCTATACAGCTTTCTTGTCTACATGTCAAGCTTGTATTCCCCTTTCCTCTTTGACTGTATTCTCTGTCTTGGCATCTACATGTTTACATAAGATCAAGTCTTTATTGACTGTTTTCTTTAGAAAATGCTCATGGCTAACTGACTCCACTTCTTGTTAAGGGTTGTGCTGTGTGCATGACAAGGGTCCCCTTCTCTCTTTCAACTGTGTTGTGAGGACCACAAACAGCCTTCTCAAATGATGGAGATGGATGTTTAAACCCTTCTTAGGTGGAAAGGTCATTATCAGTTTGGATTTTGAGCTGAAAAGCCATTTCTGTTTTGTAGAGTGATTTCCTATTTGGAATTGTAGGGTATCAGATTATGCCACTTTGGCATAAGGATTATTTCGAGCTGAAGGCAACTGGGAAGAAGATACCAGGAAAGCTCTCTGCTCTCACTCTATTTGCCTAAAAGCAAGACATAAATTTGTAAAGATGTCTCTCCCAAATTAGGAAGGGAAACTCAAAGACAACTCTAGACTCTTGTCAGGTCAGAGCCAAGCACACCAA